GCAACGGTCATTGCTCAGCATCATCTATGGGCATTATTGGCAGTCACCTGCGACCTGGAATTTGTTTATTTATTTATTTTTTTTCTATCTATTTTATCTGTTTTACCTTGTACTTTTTTAACTTCCTTTTGCGGCCTCAAGTTTTGATTTTCAATTTCTTTTAATGATCAAAAAAGTTTCACTTTTACTTTTGTTTATATTATTTAAAAACATTCTTACAACAAAACTAAACAAACAACGATATATAAACTAGAGTCTTGCCGCCAAACTCTCCACCAGACTCGTGTACAGGGCCGGATTATGACCTTTTGGGGCCCTGGGGCTAATAAAATTATGGAGCCCCCTCAGAATATTTTTTATTCGTGATATATTTTAGCGACATTTACATAGCTTGAAGTAAACTTATTGCAAATTCTTTAAATAAACTAGCATAGCTATCTTTTGTTTGTCAATAAAAATATTCTTTAAATACCACTATTTTACTATGTTTCAACACAACCGTATTGGAAAAAAGAAAAAAAAAAAAAAAAAATATATATACATATATATATATATATATATATATATATATATAGAGAGAGAGAGAGAGAGATAGAGAGAGATAACCAAGCCCCTCAAGCTTGAGGGGCCCGAGGCTGCAACCTATACTAGCCCCTAGGATAATCTGGCCCTGCTCGTGTATGAAACCCTGGAGCCCGGGGCCTCTCGTCTCGCTTGACAAGGCTGCTTCTGAGTAATTTCAAGTTAAAATTGTTTTTGTAGATTCTTTTGCACTTTCTAGTACTTTGCCGACACCTTCAGTGCTCTTGTTTTTGCAGATACCACGAGACTACAGTAGGCGTAGTCCGCACCCCACCTCAGACCCGCAGCTCTCAACTACACCCCTGGGTGTCTGAGTCCTTTGGCCGCACTTTTTCTTTTATTCTGAATTCCTTTCCCTTTCGTGTGACTCCTGAGCATACCGGAGTTCCTTGTGAACTTCTGTATTCGCTTGGGGGGTGGGCATCGAATTACCGTCCTTCGCCTAGGCAAGTTCGGCGGTAAGGAGGTGTTCTCCACATAACTCGATCCCCCTTTGGTACTGGAGAACGCAACCAAGCTTCCACTGGGGGAGTAGGGTCGGAAAATTGTCTTACTCTCTTAGCTATTGCAGTTAGGTTATTATCAAAAAGTTAAGAGTTTTTGATCCCTTCAGGACTATGGCTTCGGGCCAAGGGGTCGGACCTTGTCCGATACCCAGGATGGATGCTACCCCGGCTACCCCTTCTCCTCCTCAAGGAGGAGGAGCGATTTATGACCACTCTCTGACCAATTCGACTGTGAACAATAGAACCCCTACTAATGACAAACCCAGAAGACCTCTTTTCAAAATCCCTTCGCGAATATTGAATTGTGAAGGAAAATCAATCGCTTTTTAACGTGAACCCCATTATCATCAAAAAGGTCCTTGATGGTCAAGTGGACGGCGATTTTAATTTTGTAAAAAAAATGCGATGGAAGTTAAAGTACAATATAACTCACAGATTAAGGATTTACTTAAGCTGACGCAAATTCAGGATCTCAGAATTAAAGCAACTATTCCTATTAACCCAAAGGGAGTAATCTGTAAGGGAGTAATCTTTCACAGGGATTTGAGGACGAGGGGAGAAAGTCAAATTCTCGAGAGCATGAAGAAACGTAGTGGACGTTCATTGTATAACCTAGAAGGATGGGGATGTATGAACGAAAACTGGATTGTATTTTTTTACCTTTGTTTTGATTAAAATCCCTGAATATGTCAATATCAGATACGAACTTGTCCATGTCAGACACTGCTGAGTGCAGCAGCCAGAAGGAGACTGACACATCAGCTTATATGAGAAAACATGAAGTTATACTGAAACTAAGAGGAGAGTGGAAAGTTTGACACACAAACCTGATACTTCCTATGCTGCAGCAGTAACTAACATTCTCTCTAGTGCAAGGGATATGGGTCAGCAGATTGCAGCTAAGAATAAAGTAATGGCTGAACTGAAACAAACTGTCAAAGCATTAACCATTAAAGTATATCAGTTGACATGCCGCTGATTGATAGCTAAGAAATCCAAAAAAGAAAGGAAGCCAAACTCTCTCTTGGGTTGTGCTCGATCAATGGTTAGCGAGCGCCTGGCCTCACTGGACACCTTGGTGTTGTTTGGTTAAGGCTACGAGAGAGATAAATATATTTTCATTATTTACAAGAGGCCAATTAGGATGTGTTATGTGTACTGTAAATTTTGGGAATATACAGATTTTGGTTTCGTTTTATCCTAGGTTTCGTTATTTTACTTTTTAATTTTTACGAGCGTTTCGCATCCTTAACCTAAAACGAGGCAACCCTAAGGGACCGCCGGCGCCGCCGCATGAAATTGGCATATTGACATTTTCAGCTCGGGTATCACTGAAAATGACAATTAACAATTTCTTAGCGTACATCTTAATATTCTAAAGCTTGCACACCAATCATTCACTCACATGCATATACACTTTAATACTTTTACACATACAAATACTCTCTGAAGCCTAGTTCAGACCATAATGCATTGTATGGATACAGTTGAGCAACAATGTATCCGTACTGTCCCGATACAGGTGCTCAGCATCTAAGCAGTATTCCGAATTTATTGCTCTGCAGTTCAGCAAATGTGGCGAAACACGAGCGACTGCTGTGAGATACTTGAGGAACACTGGCGCCAATTCGTATTTGAACTGTTTCGCGACAGCTGGTGAACAGTTACACAGTGCTGTACCTTCATACCAAGTTGCACTTAACCTACCACAAACTGCGAGTAGAATTTATCACCTCGATCAGTTCAAGTAACTTTCTTTTCGGTTTTCCATGGACAAATACTACCTGTATAAAGTAACATGAACAACAGTCTTGGTAGGAAGCAAAAACCACGAAATTATAACGAATCGCATAGCTTAAGAATTTCAGAAAAAAGTAGGTGGTAACATAGCTCTATTGATTCACATAGCTTTGTGCTGTCAGAAGCCTAGTATTTTTAAAATACACTGTCAAAAGGTATATGACTGAAATTAATAATCTGTCAGGTTAATGTGCTGTCAGTTCATTCTGCATGTTACCATACGTTTTTTTTATGCTAAAGGGCAGTGGTTCTCAATTTTTTTTCAATGATGGCACCCTGAATTTATATAATACTTTCTGTGGCACCCCTTTTTCACCATCACCCCTCCTCACATGAATTAACTTCTGATATAAAATTGTACCTGTTTGAATTACTTTAATTAATGATTTAAAATTATTATCCGTACTCAAACCAAAATTAACATATGATGTACTGTAGTACATCATATGTTAATTATCCAAATAGGAGCGATTTTTCCTGCTTTTTTTGGAAGTTGATTTGTTTGCTGTTGAAATGGCCAAATCCTTTTCATTCGTACTTCTACTTTCGTTTCCTTCTTCACCCTCACCACTATCTCCATGTTTTCTCTTCTTAATGACAAACTTATCCATTGTGAGTTTAAGTTCAATATAGCTGCAGATTATCAGAAGCAGCAAGGAATACACCCATACAGCTCGATGTATAGTGCCTCACTGACAAAAATTGGACAAGTACCGACACGTCATCACGTACTGGACGACCGAAGAAAATTTGGTTACGCAAGGAGTACTATTACATTCTATTTACATTATTATTATTATTATTATTATTATTATGCTATCAGTAGTAGTAGTAGTAGTAGTAGTAGTAATAGTACAAGTGTACAAAAGGAAATATCTACCTATATTTTAGTAAAATATTAGAGCAAGTAACTTCCTACACCGACATTTAATTATAGGCAGACTGCTACAAACTGTTTTACAAATGTACCTTGAAACGATCTAGCCAAGACAAAATTCATGGCAATCTTGTGGCACCCCTTGGCGCTGTCCGTGGCACCCCAGGGTGCCGCGGCACCCAGTTTGAGAACCACTGCTATAGGGTATATGCTGAGAATGATTTATTTAAATGTAGCTGGAGCTACATTTACCAAAGTGATATACTCGCAGAATAAGCTGACTGCACATCAATTAATTGCTTATTGACATTACATACCAGTTATTTTCCAAATACTACTAGATTATTACTTTTTTATCAGATTTTCCTCTTTCCTGCTAATGCAATGCCCCATTGGATATGTAATGGTTAGTCTGCAATATACATTATGCTGACAAGTATACACTTGTCAGCATAATGTAGAGTCCATAAATTTTATGGCACGTTTATCTTTCTGTACTCAGCCGAACACAGCAACTCCATAACCCCATAACAAGTCAGCAGACGATCGACCAAAACACCGAACGCATTAAATTCGTTTTAGTCGCAACAATATAAATCTCTAATAACGAGAGGGATTTATTAAATACTTATTG